GAGGCTCGACGCAAATTTGGTCGCAGGACAGACAGATTTGCAGTCGCCTCTGCCGACCGAACTCTCCTTTCCGTCCGTACTTTGCTCAGTTTCCTAATCCGGCTTCATCCTTCCTTTTGTCTGCGACCTGACGACCTCCGAAAGAGGTAAACTGCCGCCGGACTGGCCGTGCAGGAGAGGATGAAGTTGACTGGATGCAGAGATTGCCGTCGTCAGATGAGGCATGGAGAGTGTGAGTGGGAGAGCTAGTTTAGGTGGAGTTGTGGGTGGCGGTGGCGGAGATAGAAACTCTTCCGGAGGATTGAGGCTGCAATTGGCCCCGAGGGCTTCCAGACATGTCTTTGACGGCTGAAGATGTGCTTGTACCAGCATCGATGAGGCTCGTCTGTTGCTCAGGCAGGAGTCGTGAGGTTTGCCAGTGTGGAAAAGGGAGGCCGGTTCGTTAAACATGGGCTCGGAGCCCAATAAGGACGCGGCCAAGGGGGCGAAACAGTTGACTCGGCTGGTCGCCTTAAGCCCCACAGGCTCTCGTTCATGCAGAATCTGTCGGGCAGGTTGATAGGGACAATGTAGGCGGCCGTCTGGTTCGGAAACTTTGAAGAAACGATGCTAATTGGCGCTGCAGCATGCCCGAACGAGGCGACCTCGGGCGAGTACAGCGGCTCAGGAGAAGAGACGCTAGAGTCTGTTTTAAATGAGGAGAAGAAGAGGCTTGGTTCGAGAAGAGGTTTACCGAAACAGTTGATCCCACGTCAGGGCAGGTGACAGGCTAGATTTTGAGCAAACACTCTGACCCGGTGGCTTGAGGTGGAACGAAGAAGGGCTTCGTATGTTCAAGCATTGGGAGAGAACAGGATTGGGAGGACGTGGATGAAATATTGCCTGAATTATCACCTATTCACTTTACACCAATAAAGCTGAGTCGCATTTTTGTGCATAAGTCGGTCTGCAGACTACCAGCATATTTGATATAAGAACTGAATTCACCCTAATTCCCCCCAAATCACATGACTAGACTTTACGTTCTCATCAAATTTAAAACAGAAATGCTCCCTTCGAGGTAAACTCATCCGGGATCGACTGAAATTTCCACGTGTTGAGACTATTTGTTTATCCAGTGCAACCCGGGTTCGAGTCCCAGGGCAAGAGAAATTTTATTTCACTTTAGCTCATCATGCATTAACATATCTCATCTCATCTCATCTCAACTAATCTCAAATTATGTCATTTTAGCTCATCTCATCTAAGCTCAAGTCATCTCACTACATCTCGCCTCATATCAAATTATCTCCTCTCAAATCACATCAGATTAACTCTGCTTAACTCATTTTATTTTATCTTATTTCATACATATCATTTCATTCCATATTATCTCACCTTAACTCATCTTACCTCCTAAC